TTATCTGACAGTTGACTTAGATAAATGAGAGACAACAGATGGCTCGCATATGACCTAATAATAGCTTTACGCCGTAAGCTATTAATTCTACCGCAGGTACGTAAACGATTTCCAATAAATCTCTTTTAATTTGATCTAATTTATTTTGCGTTTATAATTGAGTAGTATATTTTCTCTCTTTAAAATATGGTGTTTTTTTTATAAAACAAGCAGGAGCTTACCTGATGGTAAGTAACCGTTACCGTTCTTTTTTTTAATTTTTATGAAGTTCTCTTATTCGTATCGGTTCAAAAATGTTTGCTGGTGGTAGCCACTTTCACAAAAAAGTCATGGGGGGAAGGAAACTCTTAGTAAATCGCACAATGGTATCCAAGCATCAAGGCGATGTGTATGGTATCGGGATGTGCGATGGTGAAATTTGATGGCTGAAATCAATCAACAAATCCTCTGGTGCCGTGCAAATGAAATTTAACTTGCATATTAATTGAAAGTAAATGAAGAATATTATCTTATTATTATAATATTATCTCTATTCTCTGGTCAACCTCGACAACTGCAAGATATGTTTTAAGTTTTATCAACTACGTATACTATGTACGAGTAGCTTCGACGTACATATACTGAAGCTTGCAGGTTATATTTAATCTTTCAAGATTCAGGCTAATGGGCAGTCAGACACACAATTTTTTTTACTATTAAGGACCACGAGGCAAAGAATATATAATCACTACGTTTTACTACAGCGCTTGAGTATAGAGGCCTATATACTATTAAACAAGCAATATTTGTTTGTTTGTTTAAAATCGCGTTTCCGAAAACGGCTATAACAATTTCGATGATATTTATAATACAGAGGTTTATCAGGGAAACATCAATCAAGCTAGGCTTAATTTCTAGGAAAATTCATTACCCCGTGTTTTCACGCACAAAACAATAAACTTGACTTACCCACGCAATTTGATTGGTGTTAATTTTGCCTCGGCGTTTATCTTCTCAATAGCCCAGGCTGAGAGCGTAAGTCCATCACGGTGGAATACGCATGTATGAATCCCTCAATGTGGTAAGATATTTTTGGTTTTTAGTCTTTAATATTTTCACCCACACTACTATTAAAAAAAATTCTGTGGAATTGCATACATTTTGTGTCACTATACATACTTTTACTTTTACATACTTTTAACCCCCAGGTCAAAACTTTTAGTAGAAATTTTTGGTTATTAGTATTTTTACAGATAATCATTGTTTTATGTTTATGGGGTCATTGTAGAAGCGTGCTCGTCGCGACCCCTGCCAGCCCTTTTCAGGGCTGCAATTCTAATAGCTGCGCACCCATGCCAACGAGGGTTAGGGCGTCCCCCCAAGGCGACGCACACCAGCTCGTCCCCGTTGGTGTGGAATGCAGCGTGCAAAGCGGCGATGGGGACCGCCACCCGTCACGCACAGCCCGACACGGCGGAAGGTGGAGGACAGAGTGCAGAGTTGGCACGTGGAATGTTAGAGGAGGCATGAGAGATAAGACGAATGAGTTGATCGAGATAATGAAAGAAAGAGAATTAGATGTCGTGTGTATGTCGGAGACCAAACGGAAGGGCAGTGGTACTGAAGAGCTCCCTGGCGGGGCGTTAGCTCTATGGTCCGGAGTCCCGGAGAGCGAGAACGCCTGCCAGGGAGTGGGGGTGCTGCTGTCTTCTCGGTTGGTCGATGCTATGACTGAATATAAGGTTGTGAACTCAAGACTTCTCTGGGTTCGCTTTAAATTGGGACTGACGAAGTTATTCCTTTTGGCTGTTTATGCGCCGGTAGCTTCGTCGTCCAGGGCTGAGCTGGAGGAGTTTTGGGAGAATGTAAGAGAAGTTCTAGATTTGGCTAGAGGAAACGAAAGAATTGTTGTATGTGGTGATTTGAATGGATGGGTTGGTACCGCTCGACCAGGGTACGAGTCGGTACTTGGAAAGTTTGGCGATAAAAGGGTTAATGATGCTGGCAAGCTTATACTGGCGGTGTGCAAGGAAAAGGGTCTTCTTGTGACAAACACTATGTTTAATCACAAGAAAATCCATATGTATACTAGAGAACGAAAGAATGAGAGAAGTATGATCGATTTGTTCCTGGTGGATGACCGACTGCGAAAATGGATACGCGAGTGTTCAGGGGTGCTGACCTGGGAACGGATCACTATCTAGTGATTACTAGATTTAGGGGTCTGTTCGCGGGTTGGCGCTACCGGACGGCAGTAACAGAACCACAGTCGGTCTGTCGCATCCGAAGCTGGAAGCTTCAGGAAGCGGATACTAGGGACAAATATCATGCGAGGGTAGCCGAAAAGCTTGACACCATCGATGGCAGAAACGAATGTGTAGAAAGAACATGGCAGAACCTTAGGGATGGAATGGTAAGTGCAGCGGAAGAAGTGTGTGGAACAATAAAAAGAGGCAGTAGTAAAAGAAGAGATGCATGGTGGAATGATGAAGTGAAAGAAGCTGTAAAGAAGAAGAAGAAAGCATAGTTAGACTACTTGGCCTCTAGTAATGATAAGGATATGAGAGAGAAGATGAAAGAAAGATATAGGCTGCAGAAAGTTCACACGAAAGCACTGATTGAGGAAGTGCGTGAAAGGTGTAGAATGGAAGCGGACGAAAGGTTGTCGCACAACTTTAAGGAGAACTCCAAACTCTTCTGGAAAGAGGTTGGAAGGGCCCGAAGTGGTGCGACGGCCTTAAGAATGAACAAAGTGCTTTCGAGAACTAATGACGTCCTCTCAGAAAAATCGGACGTCATGCAGCGATGGAGCGAATTTTATAGAGAAATGTATGGGTGTGATGATCTTAGTGAGGGATCCGGGGATGACGCCGTGACTGGTACGCCAGACCCGGACCTCGATGACACTGAGGTCATCACTATGAAAGAGATTGAACGTGCGATTCGAAGTTTGAAATGTGGTAAAGGCTGCGGGACTAGACAGAGTTACTGCTGAAATGGTCAGGTATGGTGGGCATCGCGTCTGGGACAGCTTTCATCTGCTGTGCAATTTGTGCTGGCGGACGGGGGATGTCCCGGATGATTGGCGATCCGCAGTCATTGTGCCTTTATATAAAGGTAAAGGTTCACATTTTGACTGCGGGTGCTATCGGGCGATCAGCTTGACCAGTTTAGCAAGTAAAGTTTACTCGAAGGTTTTGACACGTAGGATGCAAGAGAAATCGGAAAGATTTCTATGGGAGGCACAATGCGGATTTAGACCTGGAAGAGGATGCACGGATCAAGTGTTTTCTCTCCGCATGATCACGGAAAAGCTTCTGGCTGCTAACCAGAAGATTTTCTGTGCTTTTGTGGATCTTGAGAAAGCATTTGATAAGGTTGTAAGGAAGAAAATGTGGGAACTGTTGCCGGGGTATGGTGTGGATGGTCAATTGCTAAGGGCTGTGCAGTCTCTTTACTGTGACTGTAAAGCCTGTGTGCGGGTAGGGCATGACCTGTCACCCATGTTTAACGTCCAAACGGGCGTAAAGCAGGGTTGTGTCATGTCTTCCTGGCTGTTCATACTGTATCTCGACAGCTGTTTACAGAAGCTGAAAGATAGTTGTTTGGGTGTGAAATTGGGTGACATAAAAGTAAATTGTCTGCTGTATGCTGATGATGCAGTGCTTATTGCACCATCAGAGGCAGAACTGCGGGCATTAGTCACGTGTATGAAAGAGGAATGTGAAATTAAAGGTCTCCGTTTGAATGCTAATAAAACTAAGGTTCTGGTATTTGAAAGGGACGAAGAGAGAACGAAGTGTGAAATATGGGTAAATCAGGAATGTCTAGAACAGGTAAATGAAATTGTATACTTGGGGAGTGCTTTTAGCCGGGATGGAAGATGTGATTTAGATGTGGACAGGCGTGTCGCTGTCGGGAACAAAGTCAATGGTGCCCTGACTGCGTTAGTCAGAAGGCAAGGCATAGCGAAGAGTGCACGCCTTGCAATACATAACGCAGTGTTGGTACCGACTTTGTTATATGGCAGCGAAACCTGGGTATGCCAGAAGAAGCATAAAAGTAAGTTGAATGCAGTGGAGATGCGATCTCTTCGTAAAATGTGCGGCGTTACCATGGCCGACCGAAAGCGAAACGAAGAGATTCGCAATATGGCAGGTTTGAAAGATGACCTTATCACGAAAATTGATAAGGGCGTGCTTCGGTGGTTTGGGCACGTTGAGCGAATGAGTGAAGACCGAATGGTGAAGAAAATATATAGCGCGAAAGTTAGTATTAAAAGGTGTCGAGGTAGACCGAGACTAACTTTCGAAGACCATGTGAGCAAATTGCTCGAAGAGGGTAGGGTCAAGAGTACTCGGATACCTAGACGTGCATGTATGAAGAAGATAATGAATCTGAAAGAAGCGAAAGATGTTTGTAAGGATCGTGACGCTTGGCGATCTGTTCTCTCTGGCTACCCCGTCAGGGATTGTGCGTGAAGATAAGTAAGTAAGTAAGTAAGTAAGTAAGTAATCATTGTTTTATTAATATACAATTTAATCTTTTTTTATAAGATAAGGGTGACAATCGAGTACACAGTCCACCTGATGGTAAGTGGTTGCTGTGACCCATAGACATCAGCATCTATCCTCGATTACGAATCAAAATGCATATGCGTTGTCACCCATGATGACTAAGATGGAATGCCTCTTTTCCGGTAAATAGGGTCTCCGGTTCTCTATACTCACCATACGAAAGCAGCATTAAGCTGCTATTTTACGCTGGTATTCTGTGAGAGCGTGGTCCATCCCCGGTCGAGCCGACCCATTCCTGCTACAACTATACCAGTAATATAGCTGCAGCATGGCTCTACCACGTGAAAATCTATTTTAAACAAAAAATCTATTTAAAACATTTTTGAAGTGAAACTTTTTACGGGAGGGCTTTGAAATTCTGATCCGCAACGAAAAGTGTGTAATGTAGGGTAAGCTTATTGTTAGTGTAAGGAAGGTAGTTTGTGACCTCCCTCTCTCGCATAAATGGTTGAACTTTACGGACGTGTTTTCCTTTGTCTCACTGGCGACGAGGATGGGATGGTGAAAATCGGCGAAAAATACGTGAAAATAGAAAATACGGAAAATTTAGACTGCGAACAATCAGCGTGCAAAATGTCGGTCGGAAAGATTAGTGAGTTTGACGTTAAAACCGGTATCTGGACTGCTTACGTGGAGCGGCTAGAAATGTATTTTGTGGCAAATTCAGTGAAGGACGAAATTAAATTGCCTACCTTGATCGCGGCTATGGGTGAAAGGGCGTATGAACTGTTATCCACCCTCGCGAGTTCTAAGAAACCCATGGAACTTACGTATGTGGATGCAGTTGTACTATTACGTAATCATTTGCAACCGAAACCATCTCCGATGGCGGAACGTTATAGTTTTAGGCAAAGAAGACAAACAGACAGTGAATCAAACAGTGATTACGTGGCGGCATTAAGGAAACTATCTAGACATTGTGAATTCGGTGCAGTCCTACAGGACAATTTACGGGATCAGTTAGTGTGCGGACTTCGAAGTGACGTCATACGGCAGAGATTATTCGCGGAAGAAAAATTATTGTCCTATGACAAGGCAGTGATTTTAGCGGGATCGCTGGAGGCAGCGGAGCGGGAAGCGGCGCTTGTGGAGTCGAGCGCAGCGGTGACGTCATCGCGGACCGCGGGGCAGCTGCGTGGCGAGGGCGGCGGCGGGGCAAACGGGGGGCTGAACGCCATGCGCGTCGGCCAGCGAGTCCGCCATACCCGGCACAGCGCAGTAGCGGATGCATTGTCGCGAATGATTTCTACCCATAAAGAGAGTAGGTCGGAGGAAAATTGAGAATTTCCGGAACAAAATTATTTACATTTCGCGTCAGAGGCCTTATTAATAGACAATAATAGTTTAAAGCGGGAAACCGCGAGGGACGCGATACTCGGGCGGGTCCTCGGTTATATACGGGACGGCTGGTCGCAAGATATCGAAATAAAAGATATCAAACCATACTTTCACAGAAAGAAAGAGTTATACGAGGAACTGGGGTGCGTCATGTGGGGTCACAGAGTAGTGGTACCTTCTAGTTGCAGGGAGAAAGTTCTCGCGGAGTTACATGAGGCTCACATGGGGATCACTAAGACGAAACAGTTCACTCGCAGCTACGTGTGGTGGCCGGGGATCGACGAGTCGGTGGAGGCCGTGTACCGCGCCTGCTCGGAGTGCGCGCGCGTGGCGGACGCGCCGGAGCGACACGAGCCGCGCCCGTGGCTGTGGCCAGAGCGCCCGTGGTCGCGACTGCATCTCGATTTTTTAGGGCCGATAGGGGGCGCTACTTACTTAGTCACCGTGGACGCTCATTCTAAATGGGTCGAAGTCACTGCTATGAGTTCCATATCGGTCGTATTTAATAAGCAAATTAAGGGAAATGTGGGCTAGATCTGCCAAGACAGATAGTCAGTGACAACGGTCCGCCATTTACTAGTCAGGAATTTCAGTTATTTCTTAAGGATAACGGTATAGAATACATATTTTCAGCACCCTATCACCCGGCTTCGAATGGCGCAGCTGAGAATGTGGTTAGAATGGGCAAGCGGGTTATAAAGAAGGCACTAGTACAGGGTGTGAATATCGATATCGCGCTTAATAGGTTTCTACTCGTTTATCGTAACACCGAACACTGTACTACCGGTGTGAGCCCCGCGAAATTATTACAAGGTCGTTCACTGCGCACACGCCTCGACTGTCTGAAGCCGGAGCTGAGGCCCCGCGTGCGGCGCGAGCAGGCGCGGCAGGCGCGCGCCGCGGGCGGCAGTCGCCGGCAGTTCGCGCCGGGAGACCGCGTATGGTACCGCGATTATCGTAACTCGGTTGTAAAATGGTTAAAAGGAGAAGTACACTCCAGACTAAGAGAAACGGACTATAATATTCTAGGGGCTGATAAAGTCTTTATTCATAGACATGTCGACCAGATAAGACCACGATCGGGGGAGCCGGATAGGGAAGGGGAAGACCGGGATGTTTCAGAAGGAGGAAGAAGTTCATTATCACGTTCCTATCTAGTGTATCCGAATGGCTCCTCTCCAGTGGTGGAGGAAGAGGCCGGTTCGAGTGGCAGAGAGGCCGCGGCCGGGTCCGCGCCCGCCGCGACGTCCCCGCGCCCCCCGCCCGCCCCGCAGCCGGCGCCCGCGGCTCCGGGCCCGGCGAGGGAGCGCCCCAACCCGCCTAGAACTCGTAGGGCCCCGCGACGTTATGGATTTGATTTTGATTAGTTGTAAGTTAGTTAAGTGATATGTGCTTTATTTTATATTAGTTTAAGTACGTTTAGAATAAGGGTGGAGGTGTAATGTAGGGTAAGCTTATTGTTAGTATAAGGAAGGTAGTTTGTGACCTCCCTCTCTCGCATAAATAGTTGAACTGTACGGACGTGTTTTCCTTTGTCTCAAAGTGATGGGGGTAAACACTACGTACCGGGTCATTCAGGTCGCTCATTCAAATCGCGAACGCATGCCATTACATACCATATTACAATTACAAGATTACAACGGTGTTTTGTTCAAATAATAACTTACCTATATTAATTTTATTTAAGAAAGTTACCAAGGTACACGTATTTAGTATAGAAAGAGTGATTGCATTTGAGTGATAGCGCCATCTACTACATACTCTGAAGGAGGTACTTAGAGTAGATGCTAGATGGCATAAACCCAAAAAAATCGGTAAGTTTTGAAATCATGGATAGTTATGAATGGATTGGACAAACATGATAATATTTTTTTTTTGTGTTTAAGGGATCTAGCGTGTTTCCTACATACCACAATGAGAGTTAACCAATTTTGGTTCAATAAAATAACTTTACTTATAGAATGAAGTGGATGGTGCTATTAAAAAAATTAACAAGGGAAGTAATTTAAAAGGCAGAGCAGCGTTCATTTAAAATAACAATTTGTATATTTCAAAAATATAAAATAAATTTTGTTTACGTAATATAAAACTTTGATTTAATTAAAATAAAATTACATACTTAAATCATAGATAATTACCTAATTAACCAATAAACCGATAATATCTATTCTTAACATCGAAGAAGATGATGCACCGTGACACATATGTATATAATTGTATGTAAATAAATGAATGATATACACAATCTAAGCTATTCAAAAGTCATTGATGAATAGTTGACATGTTTCCCTATAATACAAAAGTTTCACTTCTATCGTGTCTTCATGACACACACTGATTTTTTTAATAACTAAAATAAAAAATAAAAATAGTGACTCCTATTCTGCTATCGTCTGTTAGTACCATCCACTAAAAATAAGTTCATCCCTGAGAAAATAATATTTTCTAACGCCAAGCAAAGTTAGGTCGTCCAATTATTTATTTATTTTTAAGTTTAACTTTTAATTTCAATGTAATGAATAAAGCGATTAAAAATATCGATATTCTAATCATAGTTAACTCTAATCATCATAGCTTTGAACTAGAATGTTCAAAACTTAAATGGTAGGTACGGTGACCGCTCGGATACTTGCTCCTCTTTGCCTGCACTTTAATACCGTATTACAAATAATGTTATGAAATATCGTTTCAAGAGCTCTGATGTTAAGACTTTATAGCAACCCCTTAAGTCGTTAAAACAATGTTTCATTTAAAATAAGGGACGAGAAACACGCAACCGTGCTATTGTTAATTAACTTTGATCTAGTTTACAATTTGTTGTTTCGTAATCTGGCTCTACTCCAACATAAATATGAAGCTGGCTGTACAAATAATACGTGTATTTTCGGGTTGAATTTGATTTGGAAACAGCGGAAAATACTCTTTAAGCAAAAACCATTAAAATCTATAAATAGTTTTATGTATACCCGGTTTCTGAAATAACGATTAACGAAAAATGTATGGAACAGATTGTCAAATTAGTCATCAATCAAATTGTATTGAGGTTGCAGAAAGAGTGATTAACAATATATGAAATACGTATAAATTGGCGTAACACGTGTCAAATCGCTAGTCAATGGTGTATTACGGCTACTATGAATTAGTATAATGAATTATAATTCTCAAAGGTCGATTAGCTCATTTTCATTGAATAACGTAATGTCAAAAGTGCTGTTAAGTACTTTATGGGAATTGTTAGATTTAACATTGGCTATTATCGTTTTATAGTAAGTATCATGAGTGTTTTTGAATTTCAATTAATTTAGTTAGTATAGTTTAAACGAATTCATTTTACAAAGTATTCTCTCGTTTTAATTTTAATTGGAAAAAAAAATATTTAAAGAATATAGTATCCGGGGTTTCTTCTTAGGCAGAGGTTTTTCGGTAAAAGCAGAAATTAATTTTATGTTAAATTTAAATTATTCTATTTTATTCTGTTCTCAAAATTGTGCCTTACGGATATATTGTATAGATTGAACTCGGGTTGTTAACGCAGTAGTACAAAAACTGACTAGCAATAATATATTTTTCAAAATGTAAATAGCCTGTAATGAGTGCCCAGTAGCCACGCAAGGTTAGTAATTATTTATCATTTCTCTATAAATTACTCATATATTCCTCCTTATAACGATATATTAATTCCATGCAAGGTCGAAAGGGTGCACACTTTTGATTATTGTATGATTGAGTATGTTAGTATATTTACAAGAGGGTATGTGTTGTTAAAGCGTATATCTTCTATCGATGCTAATAGTGCAATATTTACAAAGTGCTGTGTGTCTGTATGTGCTTAGTGGAAAGAGCCAGTTGTCTAATCCTTCTTGTCATATGAAACGATGGCTGGTCAAAAGAACGCCTCAGCTAGTGTTAGTTTGCATGTGGTCAAACGTAATCGCCTTGCGTGTGTGTGTGTGAATGTCAAAATATAGGTATAGTAAAACTATTCATGTCAGGATAGACGAGCGGAAGTAGTAGTGATTAATATTGTTTGTTACAGGAATTTATAAAGATTCACGCCCGAGGAGGAGTATGTCAGGTTTGGCCAAGTAGGACGTCTATAAAATACTGGCTAGATCCAGAGTGAAGGTTTTACTTGTTGTTGTTTTTGTTACTTGCCGTTGTTGTTAGAAAGATTTTTGAAATTACCATCATCGGGAAAGCGTATCATATATTTGCGACGAATTGCTAACGAGCTGTTTATTATATTTTCTTGTACTTTATGTTGTAATGCACGCATATTTGCGCCATCCATCATGAGTGCATCTGGATGATCCTCTATCGCCTACATGTATAAGCAAACTTTGTATCTAAATAATAACACTCAAGATTTCAAAACTTTGTAGAATATATATCTATCTAAACTCTCCTAAACCAATAATAGTGTAAAAGTTCATCAGAAAATCATACAAAAATACGCAAAAATATTTACTGCCTACAAAAGTAAAAAGTAAGGTTAGTGATTATATACGTCACACAGCTGGCCACAGGACTCCTCTTATTTCTGAGAGGGCTAAGGCATTACGACTTAGTTCTCCGAGCTGCAGGTTTCCTCACGATGTTTTCCTTTACCGCCGAGCATATGGAAAATCAAAAATTAAATTTATCTATTTCGTTATGTTAAAATTACGTTATGGTTTATTAAGCTTAAACCCGATAATTACAGAAATTCATAATGCATAACAGTTATATATCTACATATAAAAATATCAATAAAATTTTTATGTTTTTTTTTTTATTTATTAAACTTCGGACTATAAAGAAATTGACAATCATCAACTTATGTAATGTAATTACTGCACATTTTTTATTATTGTGAACCCAGCAACGCTGGTCCACTAACTTAAGTATTACAGTTTTTCAAACATAGATGAAGCTTGTTACAAAGTATACCTAGACAATATATTGTTATTTTTAATTAAGAATTAAACTTTACACACAGTATCGACTAAAAAACTTTGTAAGGATATGGTAGGATACAATATATCCTATGACAAATATTGGTCATTTGTTTTTTTTTAAATAGTCCTGTCATATATTCCACCAGTTAAAAATAAAAGGCTTCATTTAAGTAAGAATGCACGGATTTGTTGAAACTGAATCAATTATAGCGTTTTGATTGCATCAAGGATTACCTTGTGATTTATTTGAGTTGACGAATATTTATAGTCAAGAATACATACATATAAGAAAAGTTCGGAAGAATTTTACCCCCATAATTTTACCGCTAAATTACTCAACTTTATTCGATGTCGTTTAGTAAAAAAGGAACACTATTTTTATCTCTTACCCCTCTTTCTTCCTCCTATTATTTATGGTCATTGATTTACCTAAAGAATGTTGTCTTTTTAGTGCATAACTTGGTATCTTTTCTTATTTTAGTGTTATTACCCTACCCACACACAAACACACACAACTGTCACCCAGAGGGGTAGGCAGAGACTATGGACTTCCATTTGCCGCGATCCTGACACACCTCTCTCGCCTCCTTTACATTCATATATCTAAGCATACACGCTCGTCGCTTAAGGGTACTCCCAATCTGGCCCATCTTCAATGCATCGCCGATTTGGTCGATAAATCTTCGTCTAGGGCGTCCCCACCCGACTCTGCCGTTCACTTCTGAAACATAAATTTGCTTTGTCACTCTTTCCTGGTTAATTCTTTCTACGTAACCAAACCACCGAAGCATTCCTTTCTTAATCCTGGTCACCACATCATCTTGCAAACCACACTTTTCTCTTATCACACTATTTCTCACCCTGTCATTCAGATTCAGCCCTAGCATACTTAATGACCGCATTTCTACAGCATTTATCTACTCTCATGCTTCTTCTGCCAGACACAACTTTCACTACCATACATTAAAGTGCATTTTTTAACACATTCTGACTCTTCACTATAGCGTGCAGAGCCCCATTCACTCTTTCCTGCGTTCACTCGTCGTTCTATATCCTTATCATATCTACCATCCCTGCTAAATAAACATTCCCAATATACAAACTCATCCACTTGCGCAATCAACTCCCCTTCTATGCTTATTTCACATAACGTTTTACTTTCTTCTCTTTCAAAAACCACCACTTTCGTCTTACTTGCGTTCACTTTCATTCCTTTTTCTTTTAATGTCCTGTTCATTAATGTAACCATCATTTGCAACTCGGCTGCCGACGACGCAAGTATGACTTGATCATCGGCGTACAAAAGTCCTTTTGACGGTTGACGGTTAACTCACCGATTCTTAAACCGCATTCTTCTACTTTCGAAATTTCCAAACTACTGTCCATAAATAAGTTGAACAGCCACGGGGAAGTCACACAGCCCTGTTTGA